TCCTTTTCATATGATTTTACCCAATACGTTATTTCTTTGCATATGTGTTAGCTTCGAGCCAAACAAAAAGCTTTGCGAAAATTTGAAACAAATGTTTTTTCATATTTGGCCGTGTATCCGGCCAAGTCTTGGCTGGATTGACAGGGGAAGAAGAAAAAAAAAATTGGGATTGCTTGCTGCCTTGAATCCGGCCGGATTGTGACGTGACACTGTTCATTTGTTTTCCGAGGGAATTTTCTAAAACTTTTTTTTTAGTATAGTTTTGTGGTTGGTTTGGGGAAACTCTTAGTTACTCATGTCCTTTGATCTAAATGTACTCTTTTCACTTAAAACTCATATTTATACATTTTTCTAGTAATTATTCGGATTTTCTTCGATTCACCTAAATCTTTGATGGTAGAACCATAATGTGTTTTTTTGGTTACTCTTAGGGGTCCTTGGTGATTAAGGTTGTTGCCCGGAGGGTTTCTTTGGACGTTATTTTGCTTAAATAGGTGAGTGTTCTTTGTTTGTTATGTTTCCATTAACTATATGATTTGTTGTGGTGGATATTTGATTACATGATAAATGTTTGTTAAAAATGAATTTTGCTAGGCGAGTGTGTACTTTATCGCACTCGACCTAAATGAAATATGACATTTTCAATGTTTAAGTGATTAAATGTTAGTTGTGCATGAATGTAAGCCTTTTGACTGAACTGGGGATTGCCCTTCATTGCCGGTCGACTCGAGCCAGAAGCGGACTTGGTCGGGCGATTTGGCGACCTTGGGTGAAAGTTTGGTATATTCAAGTATTACCATGTTGTCGAGTGGAGTCTGGCTAATGTCCAGAAGGGGGAAGAATGAAATGAATGAACGAGTGACAATGTCAAATGAGGGGTTTTCACTTACAAAATGCATTTTAAAATGATTGGAGGAATAAGGAAATGAAAGGTGAATGAAAGAACGAAAGGCTCCGTGTGAGCATGTATCCTTTTAATGAATGTATTATCATTGCTTCATATTGTAAATGTTTCTTGGATTACTTGTTATTGCATGATTAATGTCCTTGTTTAACTTGATATTGTGTATGGAACTTCACTGAACTTTTAGGTCATTTCGTTAGTTTTGTTTTCCTTAACAGGGGATGTGAGCAAGGACGAGAGATCTGTACAAACTAGCCTAGTCTAGTTCTTTTGAATTTTTGTAATGGTTCTCACCCTAGCGCTTGGCATGGGTTGGATGTATGAAGAATTGAGAACCTTTGTCTATTTGAGTTGTATTCCTTTTTAGATAGAAATGTATATAAGTATATGTTTTAAGTTTGGAATTATTGTTACACTTGTTCTTGTGGTCTTATTTTCATTTTGTTCCTTGAGGTGTATGATGTAACGACCCCACCTCCCCCTAAGGCGAACCAAAGGGTTCGGCGGACCGCCTGCCCAACTCTCGCCGGGACTCAGTCAGTCACTATAAGAAAAGGGCAATAAAACCCACAAAGCAAACGAAATAACAATAATTCCAAACTTAAACGTAAACTTATATACATAACCATCCCAAAAGCAATACAACGTATGTACAAAGGTTCTCTATTCTCCATACAACTAGCCCACCAAACATTGGGGCGAGAACCATAAAAAAAAAAGTCAAAAGTTCTAGACCGGCTAGTCTATAAGTAGCTTCCGTCCTTGCACGTCTTCCCCTGCTAAGGAAAACAAAAACTAAAGGAATGAGCTGGAAAGCTCAGTGAGGTTCCGCACACATAGGCAAGAAGAGAATCAATGCATTCAATACATATAAACAACAATTCAAGTTACAAGTACAAATAAAGCGATAAACATATTCATGAAAAGGATACGGGCTCACAAGGAGCCATTCGTTCATTCGTTCATTCATTCATTCTCCTTTCATTCCCTTATGTCTCCAATCATTTGAAAAATGCATTTTATATAAGTAAAACCCTCATTCATTCATTCGTTCATTCATTCATTCACCCCGTCCCTGGCTTTTGGCCAGGCTCCACCAACCTACAAGGTAATACTCGAGTATACCGAAACGTTCACCCAAGTCCCTAATCGCCCGACCGAGTCCGCTTCTAGCTCGAGACGACCGGTAACAAGGGGCAATGGCCAGTTCAGCCCAAAGGCTTACATTCATGCACAACTAACATTTCAATCGTTCAATCATTGAAACTTTCACAATCATTTAGGCCGAGTGCGATAAAGTACACACTTGCCTCAAAAACTCGTTTTAGTAATTATTGAAAGCATTTAACATTTATCAATCATTCATACAAGCCATACCATCATGAAACATAACAAACAAGGAACACTCACCTAATTACGCAAAATAACGTGCAAAATATTCTTCCAGATATTACCCTCGGTCACCGAGAAAACCTAAGATTTAACGAAAAGAATATTACAAGTCATATAGCAAAACAAGTAAGTGAAATCAAGGAATTCGGCTAAGTACGAGTAAAACGAGTAAAACGGATAAAGGTGACTTTAAAGTGAAAGGAGTCCATTAGGGCCAGTGGATGAAATAACTAGGGTTGGTAAATTAAGTACAAAACTAACTCCAAAAAGGTTAATAAGTTTCCGACGGAAAATACCTAACTAGAACACTTTATAACCCAACTTGATAAATAAATTTGTTCACGTGGTTCAAAATCAACTCATTTTCAAAGAAATAGTATAGGCTAAATGTCTTCACTATAAAGCATGCGAAAGGAAGACAAAATACATTAACTTCCACACTTAGAGCCTCGCTTAAAAATAATTCACTTGTATTCATAGGAAAGGCATAAAGAACATTTGGGGTTTCATGCTTTCGAATGGTAAAATGGTCACATTAGTTGCCTTGCGGAAATATACAAATGTAACTAGAACTTAGCCCTCGAATCCTTAGTTGAACGATCCAATGAAATTCTCAAGGAAGTACACCCAAATTTGATACAAAATACATTTCCAAAACCATTTTAACTCATTCAATTTCCAAGAAAATAAATGGACGGCATAACAACAACCCAGAAAATGTAACTATAGCAAACCAGAAAATCAGGAAATGTAACTATATTAGCCCTAATAACAAAAACAGTTTTGGCCGCCTAATGCGGTAATGGCACAACTCTCACTACAATTATCGGTTGGGGATGTAAGACCCACCGTTTCGAAGCTAAGAAACAGGGCTACAACAATGTAGAAGACCACTCAATCCAGTTCTTAACACAACTAGGTCAAATATGCCAAATACTAGCCCAGAATTCCCAAAACAGGTTTGCAAAACACAGAAAACTGTAATCGGTATATCTCAGTCCATACAAGTCCAAATGCCAAAATTCCAAAGGCATATGATAGCTAAGACATTCAGCTACATTTCATCAGAAGACACCAACTCCAAAATCCAAACCAATTCCAGTCAAAAAGGCCAATTACTATCGCAGTTTTCGCATTCTGATCAAAGCAGAACAGCTACAGTAAAAACGGCATAACTCACTCTACACTCATCCAAATAACCTGAAATTTTACAGGCACCTCAAACACATCAATACCTACAACTTTCATGTTTTGAGCAAAGTCCAATTCGGCCTCTAACCCAGTGATATAAAACCGGACAGAATTGGGATTTTATGAACCCTAACTTTCCAATTTTCCATTCAAATCCAAAATTAATTGCATTTATCCACAATTCACACCCACTAGAACCATTATAGTCCATTTCCAATCATCCAAGATAGGTACAACAATCATTTCATATTAAACCAGAAAAATTCCCAATAAAATAAAAACTTCACCAAAACTCTTCAAATCAAGAAATAAATCATATATTTCATCACCCAAGGCACCTCTAAGCATATGATAAGCATCATTAGGTATAGGGGAGAGGTTGTAGCATCACTTACCAAGAAACAAGGGAAAGAGAGGTTGTGGACACCTTTGCTCTTCAAAACAATTTCACTACAACCCTTACTAGCACTAGAAGGTAGGATTTTATGGAGTGAAATGGATGGAAGCAAATGTTTTTGGTTGATTTGCACCAAGTAGAAGCTAGAACTTGAAGAGTTTCTCCTTCCTTCTTTGCTCAAGATGGCCGGCCAACAAGAGAAGAAAAATGGTGGTTTTTGTGCATTTTTTTTATATTTAATCCTTTGGTCAAAAAAGTCAAGAAAGTGAATAGTGTTTCTTAAAGTCCATCCAATGAGAAGGTGACACTTGTCACCTCCATTAATGCATTCTTATCATTCTTTTCTCTCTCACATCAATCACTTAACACACCCTACTTATCTCTTAACACCCGATAAATTTTTCACAGTATTCGAAACTTAACCTTATTGGCCGAATTTTTCCGAACTTATCGCACTAGTGGGTCCCACGTCCAATATATATTCTTAATTTTTCAAAAACTACCCAATGCTAGGAAAATCATATTAAAAACTATAATTACCCATAAAATCCACCAAGAAATTTTTCTAAGCCAGAAAACATGCAATTAAGGGAAAAACCCTAGGACAATATTAGGGAAATACGGGTTCTCACATATGAACGAGTCCTGGTGATAGTTGGGCAGGCGGTCTGCCGAACCCTTTGGTTCGCCTTAGAGGGAGGTTTGGCTGTCACAAAAAAAACAAAAAAAATATAATAAGAATATTTATAAATACTTACTCTTTTTTTTCTTTGATTCAATCCAATCATCTGTAATCATTAATGCTTCAACCACTTCTAGAAGTAATTTGGCACAAGTCTTATCAATCACTTTACCACCAACACTAAATACAAATTCTGATGCAACTGTAGTAGTCAGAACATCCAATATATCACATGCCATTTTTACCAAAATAGGGAATTTTGGACAATTAGCTTTCCACCATTCTAAAATATCAAAATTGTCCTTTCTTAGAAACTTTGGCTCTTCAAACTATTGATCGAATTCTAATTTTTGATTTGCATGAAGGCTAGACGAGCAAGACTCAAAGTACCATTTATCAAAGTCACTCAATGTATCATTACTTGAATTACTTTTCTAAACACTTTCACTATTCCAAAGATCTAATGATGGTAAAAGTTCACCTTCATAATCCATATAGAAATCAACAAAAGTAATGCGAACCCGTTGAATATGTTTTTCAGCATTACGTCCATGAATTTGTCTATAATAATACTCCGCCAAATCCATCTCAAACCTTGGATCAAGCACTACAGCTATTGCCAACACCAAACTACACTCTTCCCAATATTTTTCAAACTTCTCTTTCATTGGACCAGCCACATGTCTAAGAAAGTCATATTCACTTTGTTCCCATTTCATCAATTGAAGTTGAATGCTACAAATATCAAGAAAAAACACATTTGCTGTTGGAAATTTGGTACCACTAAAATGGAGAGTTGCATCATAAAAGCGTTTTAGACAACCATGATCAATAGCAGCAACTTCCCAGTCCTTTTGAGATGGATTATACTTGTAGTTCTTGTCCATTTGGTCTAAATGATCAAAAGCTTCCCTTAGTGGTAATGCAGTATCAAGTATTGTGAAGGTAGAATTCCACCTATTTTGAACATCTAAACCCACTTTCCTTTTACCTTCCAAATTTCATTAGTTAATTGCATTTTCAAATTTTTGATTTGCATTAGCAAACTTTTTCAAATATTTTACTGTTCGTCGAATCTTGCTAAGTAGTCCCCCAATTTCAGCAAATCCATCCTGGACAATCAAATTTAATATATGTGCACTACATCAAACATACAGTAGTTCCCCTCCCAAAGGTAGCAGAGACTTGTCAACAAGCCAAGATTTCAAGTATTTGACCATAGAGTCATTTGAAGTTGCATTGTCAACTACTACTGAAAAAATTTTCTTGTCCAAATTCCACCCCATTATCAAATCATAGATGAATTTAAACAATGTTTCACAATCATGGGGATATGCAATGGATTTATATGCAAGAATTTTCTTCTTCAATTCCCAATTCTCAGTTATATAATATGCAATCAAGCAACAAATACCCAATATTTGAGTGGTCTAATGTCCAAATATCAGTAGTACAACTTTAGAAGAGATATAATCCAAGTGGTTGTACAACCTTTTCTTTTCTTCTTTATGCAAATTAATCACATCTACCCTTAAAGTATTTCGACTAACAACCTTGAAATTTGGGTTTAAGCCATTGCAAAATATCTCAAAAAATTCATGGTCACACATATTAAATGGATAATTATGCTTAATTATCATCGTGGCCATGTCTCTTCTACTAGTTTCTTGATCAAATCTATAAGGCTTAAGTTTTACAATCCCATCATTAACATTCTTTGTTGCAAAAAGTAACGATTTTTTTTTCTCTTCCTAGCAAAACAGTTTTCAATATGCTTTTTCAACTGGCTAGTACCAGAAGTAGTTTTTGCTGCAAATTTTTTCTTACAATGCCTACATGTTGCAACATCATTACTTCTATCGAAATCATCCCTTACCTTTGAAATTAATTTTCTTCCCTTCAACAGGCATGTGTTTTTCTTTATCTCCCAAGATGATCACTTTGTCTTCATCTCCAATATTAAGAGTGGGATCCGTTGCCATTTTCTACAAAACAAAAATAGATTGGTTATTAACATGATTCAGCATCTATAAAAGTAATATATCTTTTTTTTTTGTAGAATATTGCTTTTATTGCCCCATCAGAAACTTACAAGCCGAGAACAAGACCAGTCATCAAGACGATCCTTTGATAGTTCTAATAGAGGGAAAGCCTAGCATATCCAACCTAACTTCCCCCCTTGCTAGTTGCGGAAGAGAACAAAGCTGGTGATAGACCCTTACATGATCTTGCGGATGCAAGATACCTATATTAGCTAAGATGTCAGCCACTTTGTTGGCTTCCCTAAAACAATGCGAAAACTGTGTAGAATCCGCGACTAGCCGCCATATTTGATGTACCTCCCTTCGAATGTGCCATGGACACGGGAACCTCCGTTGTAATATACCCACAAGTACCAATGAAGCTGTCTGCACTCAAACCTGCACAAAGCCTTGCTGGAAACATAGGCGAAGCCCCGTTAAAAGTGCTAATGCTTCAGTGCGCAAGTGCTAATGCTTCAGTGCGCAAGCTTGTATTGATCCCCAGGAAGACGGAGAATGCTACCAACACCCAACCGTTTGAATCCCGTAGTATTCCACCTCCACCACTTATCCCGTAGTATTCCACTTAATTTGCAAGTACTATGAATAAAGTAATCAATAGGTGACTATTATTCCATAAAGCAATCAACGAACCAATACTTTATAATATCATGAATTTATTATTACTTTAACATATCGTGCACAAACTATTTATTGTGTACATAGACGAATTGAGAACATTACAGTAGATTCTTTACTACCAAATTACATCATATGAAATATTTTTTGAACTTAATAGAGTAAAACAATAAAGATAAACTGAGAGATGGTAGGGCAAAAGAAATTGTTTATAAGATCTCTAAAGGAACGAAATAGAGAGGTAGAGAAAGACAATGGAGACACACAATAGATAGGCATAGGTGGAGCTAATTAGTGTTTTATTAGGTTAAGAACGTATCATTTAATCTAATAGTCATGAAGTCTTATATCAAATGGCAATAGAATATTAGATTATTTTATAAATTTACTAATATTTATTATTTAATTAAATATATATGGATCTGAGTAGGGTTTGGCATAAGTATGAATTTGCATATAAATTTTAGAAAACCAAATCCTATCTATATCCATAACTCTCTCACAGAGTCTGGGTCTAGGTAGGGTTTGGATTGAAAAATTAAATCCAAACCCTACCCAAATGTATTAGATCTGGGTTGAATCCGAGTAAAACTCACTCATTAACATGCCTACATAGAACGCAATGTACACACGAAAAATAATGTCTATGCAAATTATCTTGTGCCAACCAGGATGAAGACCCAATTAATTTGTCTAACTGTCATAATAATGAAGAGTGATGACACCCACATTTGTAGTATTTGGTGTCCTGCACTGCAACACTTAGCCAACCACCACAAGCAGAGGCTGTGAGCACCATGCCCTTCACTCGCAGAGATCAATCAAAGCAAAATATCACTTCCCAAGGGCTGAGAACTATTGGTGGCCATCAACCATGGCTTAGATTATTTGAAAGAACGATTTTCAATATTGGAATTATCTCAAGCTACATTACGACAGTACAGAAGATTCGAATAACTAATATGGAACAAAACATACAAAACTGGGATAGGTTTACCTAATTAATCTTCCAAAGTACCTAATGCAACTATAGTAATCATTGACCAGCTACTGCCCCAATCATTTTATGACCAGTGCTACATGTAAATCCAATATGCTGTCAGTTCGCGTCAATGGAAACAAAAATTTGGTGGAAACTGATAGCATCCAGTATCTGACCCTATATCACGAATATAAATAGGAAACTGAAGTTTGGTGGAATGTCATTTTCTGCTTTTCTAAACAATACCATTCTTTCAACAGTTAAGATATCAGATTTAATTGGTCGTCTCTCCTAAGGAATTAAGTAGCCTAAGTAGCCCACTTGCAAGTCCCAACCACTAAAGCCACTGTCCGCCTCTTGAGCACATTTTACCCTCACAACCACTAGAGCCAATATACCTCCGCAACCTCTAAAGCCACTATCTACCTCTTGAGCACACTTTACCCATGGGCTCTCATTCTCTTTCAGCAATGACCACTAGTGTAGGGTGCGCAACCAGCATTACAAGTAATTGAACTCCATCCTAAACAAGGAAACGCGATAGAGGACATAGATGAAAACAAAATCCATGAATGGGCTTTCATTCTCTTGAGCAATGATTACTGATGGAGGGTAAAGCAACCAGCATTCCAAAAAATTAACACCATCGTCAACAAGGAAAAGCGATCAGAACATGGTAGAAAACTAAGTCCATGAAACACAAGGCGCCCTGCAAGGCTGCAACAATTGTTTGGCAGGTTACATCGAGGATTACCATCACTCGGATGGCAATGGTGCGCTGGGATTTGCAGTACTTGCGTATCTAGAATACAATGTATGTTCACCCTTCACTGCCTCCAACATTTTAGGCACACAACTAATGGAAGAAAGATAGTCCAATACAGCGCAGCACTAGTGCCAGATGAACCTCCAAGGCATTGCACAAACAGAAAACAATGTTATTGCCTACAATATTCACAGATGGTATAGCAGAAAACTAATTATTGTACTACAAGGTTAATGACAAAAACTCTAACAGCAGCACCAATACAAAAGCATCTTGTGCACTTTCATCAACATATTGGCCAGAATTAAGACAACAGCAGATGCCTATATCCATTCGTTTATAGAAAAAGGGAGACAAATTCAGTCTCGTTGTCACCCCAACAAGTGGCTTGTCTCATCGATCAGCTTAAACAAAGGGAGACCAACAAAGAATCCACAGAATGTCCCAACTAGTGGCTTTTTCTTCGTGTAAGAAGTAACATGGGGATGCTCAATTGATTCATAGTGACCAAGCAGCAAAATTGTGGGTGGGTTTTTTCTTCCTTCCAGGATATGGAAATCCCAAACTCAAAAGGCTGCAGTTTCCCCTGAATGTCCAATCAGCCAAAAGAAAACATCACTTTAGCAGGACCAAACTGACATCCCGATACATATCCATCTACTATACAATAAAGATGACAATGAGATAGAGAGATCAGACAACTGTGACTAGTAATAAGAAACCCAAAGACAATCCTTATAACCATGGAATCAATGCTTTGTAATCTGATCAACTTGCCTCAAAGCAATACCCAGCAACTGCTCAAACATGTAATATATTAACACAATAAAACCACAATTCTATAACAAACTGTCACTTGTATGAGTACAGCATCTAATAATTGGCAAACGCATTAACAATCAATGATAAGACAAGTTTCAGCAAGCGTTAACAGCATATAACAAACACATCCCAGGGAAAAAAAAATGACAAACTTGCTCATGCTTGAAACTTGCTATGTAATACAAACTTATGCAAGTTCAAGAAAATGTAATCCACCCGAGAAACTAATTATGAATCTAAATCACTAATGCCATAAGAATGCGGAAACTGAACACAAACTACCAAAAACGGATAGACAATGTAAACTCATGTGCCCAAAAGATCACCTTCCAAGCTAAAACTATCTAAATATGAGGAATTCAGCCATATATAACAACACTCAACAGATTAGGCTAACTCCTTAGGATGTAAGCAGTCAAGCAATTCATCACACATGCAGGTAACTAAAAAAAGATCCAGTACACAAGCAAAAGCAAATAGAAATTAACTATTACCCCAAAATTCTTCACTTCTTTTGTTCAACAAAAGACCACCAAATCAATCAGAATGAGTTCATCTCGAGACAATAGGTCCTCCTTTTAACCAACATCCTGGCAGCAGTCCCATAAGGCTCCTCAAATGCAGCACCCACCCAACTCCCATCTGCTGCAGCAGCTA